AAAATCGAAGCTGCCGAGAACCAGCATCGCGACCGCGAGCAAGGATATTTATATTGTGTTAGTTAGAATCGCTGCCGAATTATAAAATTACGTGAGTTGTTGTCGTGTGAACGCGGGCAAACATCCCGTCATTGTACTTAGCTACCGTCGAATAAAATTCGAAGAGAGAACATCCGCCTTTATTATTTCAGCACCCGCCAACTATTAATCCTTCCGACATCGCGCGAACCAGCCCCTCTACCGAGAGCAGGGCTGAGCTGCCGGACGTGCGAGCGAGCCGTTCGGGCGGAGGGCCGGTTGTCCTCGTCGGCGAGACCACCGCTTAAAGTAATAATTAGTGTCGATACTTTTTTAGTGGGTACGGACCGCCGTACCTGGCGCCCAACTAGAGCTTTGTGTTGTTCGTGTGAGCTGTCGGGTCTCGCCGGATCTGCCGAACGGTCGCCGAGGCGCGAAGAAAACATCATTTTGTGTCGCTGCACTCGATTAGTGAAACCGGCTGCACAAGCCGCGGGTGTAGCGTTACACAATATAATAGAAAACATTTTGAACATGTTTAACAACGTACAGCAAATGCTCATAAATACTAGACATAAGATTGATGAACTGGAAAAAGGGATAGTGCACAAGCCTCAAAATACTGGTAAAAAATGACAGATTCATCACTTCGTATAATCACTTTATACGGAACGCTAACGGATTAGCGCAGCGTAGTAAAGAACTCGAAATGTTTCTTAGACTTAATAATATAGATATAGCATTGATCTCAGAAACACATTTTACGAACAAAAATTACTTAAAAATCTATGATTTCGTGGTATACCAAACTACACATCCCAGTGGAAGAGCGCATGCAGAAACAGCAATCATCGTTAAAAATAATATAAAACGTTTCCCACAAGAGGAAATTAAAAGAGACTACTTACAGGTTACAATAATTACGGTAAAGTATAACAACACTTAATGAATTTAATATAACAGCTGTATATTGCCCACCACGCCATAGCATTAAAAATGACCAATTCAAGGAAATCCTTGTTAAACTAAGATCGCGCTTTATAGCTGGAGGTGACTTCAACGCAAAAAACACAAAATGGGAATCGCGATTGATCACACCCAAAGGCAGAGAGTTATGCAAAGCAATTAACATCTGTAAATGCAATTTTATTTCATCACGTAAACCAACGTACTGGCCAACAGATAAAGAAAAGTCACCTGATCTTATAGACTTTTATATTACCAAAGACATGTCGAACAACTACCTAGAAGTGGATAATATAGAGGATTTTTCATCGGATCATGTACCAGTCCTAATGACAATAAGCAGCACGGTAATACGTAGGAAAAAGAAATATATGCTTACTAATAAGTCTACTGATTGGAATAAATTCAGAGTAGAACTGGATAAGACAATTCAGCTTAAAATGAGACTTAAAAATACTGTGGAACTAAATACACAGACGCAACTTTATTGAAGCAATATAAAAAGCGGCTTTCAGTTCAACAAAGAACTCTGAGGGCACTTTAATTCAAGAAATATGTTACCCAATAGAAATCAGAGAGATAGTCAAAAGAAGAAGAAGAGCGCGAAAAGTTTGGCACTATTCGAGAAATTCGGAGGACAATAATATGTTCAACCGTATCAGTAATCAATTGAACCGTCTAATAAAAGATATAAATAACAAGAATTTTGAAAATTACTTGAAGAATCTCTCCACTGAGAAGGATACAGATTATACGTTGTGGAGGGTGACAAAAAGGTTCAAAAGACCTCTTGTAATAATTCCCCCACTCAAAGATGAACAAAGTCAAATGGGTGTATCGAGACGAAGAAAAGACGGAACTTTTTGCTCGGCCGGAGTGTTTCAAACACATAATGTACAATCTAAAATAACACTCATCAAAACATATAATAATAACAAACAGTTGAAATATGTTACGCCTATTGAGATTGCACGGGAAATAGATGAAAACATTAACCCTAAAAAAGCATCTGGCATTGACGAAATATCACCTGAAGTACTCAAAGAATTATCGCGAAAGGGAATTATAATGTTAACATACTTGTTCAATGCTTGCATACAATTCGAACATGTTCCGGACTGCTTTAAAACAGCCAAAATTATCATGTTAAAAAAACCAGACAAACCGGAAGAAGAAACTGCATCATACAGACCAATATCATTATTATCCGTGATGTTCAAATTGTTTGAAAAACTTCTTCATAAGCGTATAAAACCATTGTTGAATATACCAAACCATCAATTTGGCTTTCGCAATAAGCACTTAACTGCACTCAACTAGACCAAGTGCATAGAGTAACTTCAGTCATAGAAAAAACGCTTGAAGAAAAGAAATATTGCTCCTCGATATTCTTGGATGTTGCGCAAACGTTTGATAGAATATGGCATGAAGGACTGGTGTGTAAACTAAATAGAACGCTACCAGGCAATTATTGCAGATTGCTTAAATCATATTTATCTGGACGCCAGTTTCGAGTGGAGCAAGGTGACTCTAAATCAAAATTTCATCAAATAATGGCAGGTGTGCCGCAAAGAAGCGTATTGGGGCCTACCCTATATCTGTTTTACACTGCTGATATACCAACAGATAACAATACCATGCTTGCTACTTATGCTGAAGATACAGTGATCATGGCTATAGAAAATTCGCAAAAGAAAGCAACGGCAAAACTTCAAAATGTCATACATAAAATCATAAGATGGATGCAAGATTGGAAAATCAAACTCGATCAGCAAAAATCTCCGCATATCACGTTTACCCTACAACGAATAGATGTAGAACACTCAATATTCATAGAAGAAAAAATACCGCAAAGCGTAACAGCCAAATACTTAGGGACACGTTTAGATTTGCGTGGAAACATCACATAAAGAAAAAAGTAAAGCAAATACGACTCAAATACCGTTAAATGCAATGGCTAATAGGAAGAAAGTCTAAACTGGACATGTACCACAAAAGGTTATTATACATAATGATCGTAAGACCAATTTGGACATACGGCATCCAACTCTGGGAATGCACATCGGATACAAATCGTATGATGATGCAACGAACACAAAATATGATCATATGTAATTACTAATGCGAGATGGTATCAAAGGAACGAAGATATCCGCAGGAATCTGGATCTGAGGACCGTAAATGAAACAATCAAGGAATATGCAATAAAACATAAAAGTGGACTGCTCAATCATACCAATATGGAACCTGCACAACTTCTTAATACTGATGGGGACATCAGGCGACTAAAACGTAGGAAACCATAGGATCTGGATACTCGGCAATAAAATCAAGACAAAATGAACTGGAATTTGGATTAATATATCTGTTGTGTTAATTATTTGCTTATTTACTTATAATGTACATGTTCTGTTACTGTTATTTATTTTAAGTTTAGGTAATGATCTAAAACTCAATACACGTCTGACTAACATTTGATAAAAGTATTACTTATTTAAACTATTGTTTAAGATTGTAATAAACATACATATAAAAAACAAAAAAAACCGCTATTTCCTACTCAGAAATAGCGCTGAAAATAATGTACAAAACGTTTACATTTGGGCGTTAAAGGGTTAATGAATAACAAAATTCAAATCCTAATAGATTATATTTTACCTTTTCTATACAAAATATTGTGTAAATACTTACAAACATATGTAGCTATAGCAAATGAGTTGTCCGGTTTTTCTGTTATCTGCTTCTCAATATTTTTTATAATATTGAATAATCTCTTTTCTATGTTTTTCATTTCATTATATTCGATTTTTTCCAATAAATTCACGTTTTCGTCCCAATAATATTTTATACAGCGATCATGGAAAGCTTCAAAGAGTTGTTTTAACATCTACAAGTATTTTTACTTTATTATTTGATAAAAGAGAGAGAGAAAAAGAAGACAATTTTTCAACATTAAAAACAATACCGTGAAAAATAAAGAAGTTGATGACTTTCTTTGCTCTTTAAAAATATGCAGATGGTGAAAACATAATGTTTCAATGTAATAGCTGGCAATACACTTCAAATTTTGGGTATCTCTAAATTTCTAAGAATGCAACTATTATTAGTAAAATTAACTTTAAATTAATCAATGTTTATAATTTTGTGATATATTGGTATACCTTTAAGTGGCGTATTATGGGTTTAGCTCGTCCGTATTTAGAAAGAATAACTTTTTCAAATTCATAAAAACTTAATCGCCAATATTGATTTTCTTCTGCATCGGAAATGTTTTTATTGTTTAATGGCTTAGGAACCAGGAACCAATCTCTATTACAATACTACGCAAAACGATAGAAATTAAAATATGTGATTAAAATTTATCCATTTTTCTAATAATTTAGACGTATATCATGAGTGTGTGTGTGTGTGTGTGTGTGTGTGTGTGTGTGTGTGTGTGT